CAACAGGAGATGGTGGGCGAATCTCATTTAGCTCGGGAAGTGCCGTGGGGGGGAGCAGCAATGTTGCTTTGCTGGGTAGTGGAGTTTCAACCTCCGGGCGCGGTGGTTCAGTTATGATTGCGACGGGAAGTGGCACAAGCGGCACTTCAGGTCTTTTGCTCTTTGCAGGTCGAAGTATGGTCACGACAGGCGGTGTTTTAGTTTCACAGAGCGGCACGGGTACATCGTCAACCAGCGGTACAGTCTACATTTGCACCTCGAACGGTGGCGAGAGTGGTGCTGGTGGAATGCTCATATTCAGTTCCGGCAGCTCTAGCACAGGCAACAGTGGTGGTATTTCTCTAGCATCGGGGACCTCTACCGCAGGACGGGCAGGTGGTTTTTGTGTCACCTCAGGAAGCGCGACGAGTGGATTGGGTGGAACTATTAGCCTTCTTTCAGGCCGCGGCGAATTCGCCACAGGCGCCTATTGCTCAGTGATCGCTGGGGAAGCGGTGGCCTCAACCAGCGGAAACATCTTACTACGGTCCATTAACGGCGGCCATGGGGGCTCGAGTGGGACATTAGTCTTCTCAAGTGGTACGAGCAATAATGGGAATAGCGGATCCGTGCATCTGGGCTCTGGCGCCACGAGCGGTGGCATTGCAGGAGTTCTCCTTGTTTCGGTGGGGAGCGGAACTAGCTCTTCTGGAGGAAGACTACATATTTCATCAGGGCGTGCTTCAATTCTTTCAGGCGGTGTGATGAGCGTGATTGGTGGCGATGGCGTTGTTACGAGCTCGGGCTGTGTATCGGTGTCAAGTGCCAACGCGGGGACCGGTGGTAATGGCGGGTGGATATCGTTCAGTTCTGGATCGAGCAGAACTGGGAACAGCGGCACGGTATGTATCGGTTCTGGAGTAGCGACGGGTGGGCGTGCAGGTGCAGCAAGCATCACTCCCGGGAGCGGCACGAGCGGATCAGGGGGTATACTATCACTGCTGGCGGGTCGGAGTACGTCATCGAGCGGTGGGCGCACCCTGATCAATACAGGCGAGGGGACTGCGTCCAGTAGTGGCACACTATTTGTCTCGTCTGCAAACTCCGGAGAAGCAGGAGCGAGCGGGCAACTTGCATTCAGCTCAGGGTCCGTGGTTGCAGGAAATGCCGGGTCGTTGTACTTGGGGTCTAGCGTAGCCACAGTTGGTCGTGGAGGGGGTCTCAGGATGACTGTTGGGAGTGGGACGAGTGGTTCGGGGGGCCCTGTCTTTCTCTCGACAGGGCGGAGTATGGTAGGAACTGGAGGAGGTGCATGTTTCACTAGCGGTGAAGGGACTGCCGCCAGCAGTGGCACGTTGACCGTGGGAAGTTGTAATGCTGGGTCCGTGTGGGCTAGCGGGCGACTTGTCTTTAGCACCGGCACTTCGGCGGGGGGAATGCTGGCGCGATGTTTCTTGGGTCAGGAGCATCAACAGCGGGGCGTGCTGGTGGGATTGTGGCGAGTGCTGGCAGCGGCACCAGCGGAATTAGTTCTCCTACGTGTATTCAGTCTGGACACAGCACCAAAACGAGTGGCGGTATGATAACCCTGATTGGTGCAAGTAGTGTGGCAGCTAGCAGCGGCTCGTTGCTCATCAATTCGATCAATAGCGGAGACCCAGGTTCCTCTGGTTTGCTCGTGTTTAGCTCAGGTTCCTCTAGGGGAGGGAACAGCGGGGACTTGTGGATTGGTTCGAGTTCTGCTACTGGGGGTACATCGGGAAGTGTCGGCATGTCCGTCGGAAGTGGAACGAGTGGTTTCGGCGGCACAATGAGCATTAGCTCAGGCCGCTGTGCGACATTTTCTGGCGGTGCTATTAACATCTGGAGTGGCGAGGGGACAGCAACGAGCTCTGGGGCAATCTCGCTATTCTGTGCCAATACAGGTGTTGATGGAACTAGCGGCTATCTATCGTTTAGCTCTGGCTTGTCAAATGCAGGCAACAGTGGCGCTTTATTCGTTGGGTCGGGTGCAGGACTGAACGGGCGAGCGGGTGCAACCAAAGTGAGCTCTGGGAGTGGCACTAGTGGTCTTGGAGGCAGTGTCTCTCTTCTTGGTGGCCGTGTCCGCACATTCAGTGGTGGTTGCACTAGCGTTGGCGCGGGAGGGGGCAGCTCTGCCAGCAGTGGGGCAGTCCGTGTTGCTTCGGCGAATGGTGGGGACGCGGGAACGAGCGGGCGGCTCGCGTTCAGCTCTGGGTCTGCGACCGGAGGGAACAGTGGATGTGTGCTGCTTGGGTCCAGTGTCGCAACTGGTGGTCGCGGTGGTGCCTGCGGGATGAGCGTCGGGAGCGGGACGAGCGGTCATGGTGGCCTGGTCTTGATGTGCGCGGGTCGGAGCGCGGCGGGGAGTGGAGGCGCGGTGTGCGTCGCGGGCGGGGAAGGCACGGCATCGAGCAGCGGGGCTGTGTCAGTTGGAAGCAGCAACGCTGGGGCGACGGGAACTAGCGGGCGACTTGTCTTTAGCTCCGGGACGGCGGTCGGCGGGAACAGCGGCGCGGTGTTGGTGGGCTCGGGCGTTGCGACCTCTGGTCGTGGAGGTCGGGTCGGCGTGTGCGTCGGAAGTGGGACGAGTGGTGGTGGGGGCGCAGTCGGGCTAAAGTCTGGTCGCAGCACGTTCACGAGTGGAGGCCGCGTATCTGTCCAAACTGGAGATGCAATCGTGTCTAGCAGTGGATCAATACTGGTGAATTCTGCAAATGGAGGCGGCCTGGGTTCAGGTGGATGGCTTATTTTTAGCTCGGGAACGTGCAATCTAGGAAATTCTGGAAGTGTTTGCATGGGAACCGGAGCTGCTACTGCCAGCTGCAGCGGATCGCTGGGGCTTAGTGTTGGAAGTGGCACGAGTTCGGCTGCTGGGACATTGAAAATACATTCCGGCAGGGCGACTGTGTTTACGGGTGGGCTGGTGAGGGTAGATGCTGGTCTGGGTGAAGGATCTTCTAGTGGATTTATTTCAATCATGTCAGCAAATAGCGGTGTCACTGGAAGTAGCGGGCATCTTGTTTTTAGTACCGGATCTTCGGTCGGGGGCAACAGTGGTACTATGCATTTTGGCTCAAGTTCAGCTACAGGTGGCTGCAGTGGCCATTGCTCCTTCTGTGTAGGAAGCGGAACAAGCGGTCTTGGGGGAGCCGCGTCACTCTCTTCCGGGCGAAACCCGGTGCAGTCCGGTGGAGCCCTAGCTATGTGTGCCGCTAGAAGTAGTACCAAGAGCAGCGGTAGCATCTCTGTTGTCTCCGCCAACGCAGGGACAACCGGGTTGAGCGGCCAGCTCAAGTTTAGCTCTGGCACATCAAATGGAGCAAATAGTGGATGCGTTTCCTTGGGCACTGGCGTGGCAACTTTAGGCTGCGGGGGCACTTTTTGCATGAGTGCCGGGAGTGGCACGAGCGGTAGTGGCGGTCTTTTAAGCCTAACATCTGGTCGTAGCTTGGCCAAGTCTGGTGGTGTCGTCGTCATGGAAAGTGGAGAGGGCGCTATTACAAGTTCTGGCGCCATGAGCATCCTTGGGGTGAATTCTGGGGCTGGGGGTGCCAGTGCTAGATTGTCGTTCAGCTCGGGCTCGGCCAAAACTGGGAATGCTGGC